GTGTGGGTAGTGGAGTGAGTGGCTGGGTAGTGGAGTGAGTGGCTGGATAGTGGAGTGTGTGGGTAGTGGAGTGAGTGGCTGGATAGTGGAGTGTGTGGGTAGTGGAGTGTGTGGCTGGGTAGTGGAGTGGCTGGGTAGTGGAGTGTGTGGCTGGGTAGTGGAGTGTGTGGGTAGTGGAGTGAGTGGCTGGGTAGTGGAGTGAGTAGCTGGGTAGTGGAGTGTGTGGCTGGGTAGTGGAGTGTGAGGCTGGATAGTTGCTGAATCTAAGCAAGCCCAAACACACCAAGGATAATCTTAAAATCAATGCGAGTATGAACTGGCAGCCAATCCAGACAGTGTATACATTCTGTCTAAATAAAATGACAAAATGTATTATTAGAACTATATTTCGTTATTTATATATTTAATTTCCCAGCTCCCCACCCCCCGCCTCCCCAACATTCTCCCCTGAGAATTCAGGAGACAAACGAGGGCTGTCGGATTTGTCTCGAGATGCCGCGAGATGACAGATTGCTCTGAGAGACGCGCCGAGTGGCCACCACCACTACGGGCTCGGCTCGGCCCGGCTCAGTTGCAGCAATCACGGGCAGCGTGAGGATCACCCCCATCCCCCCCCCCCCCCCCCATTATAGCCTTTAACAGACTGTTGGGGCAAGGGGCCGTCCATAAATGACGTCACGCGATTTTTGAACGATTTTTGCCCCCCCCCCGTCACACGGCATCACAAAAAGTCAGACCCCCCCCCCCTTAAATATGACGTCACAAAGCTCTGCCCCCCCCCCCCAAATATAAAACATGCTTCGAATCGCTTTAAACTATTGTCATTGTAGTGCGTATTTAATGTGGCGCTGCACTCTGATGTTGTCGGAGAAAACATTTATTTGTCACATTTGTCAACCCCCCCCCCTCGTCACACATCGTCACAAATGTCTGACCCCCCCCCCCCCAGGTGCGTGACGTCATTTATGGACGGCCCCAAGTGCTGCTAGTGAGTGGGACCTATGAAGGCCGGCACGGCACACGAGGGGGAGGGGTGGCCAGCACCACGCCCGGCCGCCTTTGTCTTCCCCGGTGGCGATGGATACTGCACACCGCACCAGGTACTCGTTTGAGGCTGAGTCGACCTAGGGGAGGCCCAGGACCGGTTCAGATAATCGCCACTGGTGTTTTATTGGCTCTGCGATGGAATCTGAGATGGTCTTGATGCTTGAGATGGAATCTGAGATGGTATTGATGCCTGAGATGGAATCAGAGATGGTATTGATGCCTGAGATAGAATCAGAGATGGTATTGATGCCTGAGATGGAATCTGAGATGGTATTGATGTCTGAGATGGAATCTGAGATGGTATTGATGTCTGAGATGGAATCTGAGATGGTATTGATGTCTGAGATGGAATCTGAGATGGTATTGATGTCTGAGATGGAATCAGAGATGGTATTGATGTCTGAGATGGAATCTGAGATGGTATTGATGCCTGAGATGGTATCTGAGATGGTATTGATGCCTGAGATGGAATCTGAGATGGTATTGATGTCTGAGATGGTATCTGAGATGGTATTGATGCCTGAGATGGAATCTGAGATGGTATTGATGCCTGAGATGGAATCTGAGATGGTATTGATGCCTGAGATGGAATCAGAGATGGTATTGATGCCTGAGATGGAATCAGAGATGGTATTGATGCCTGAGATGGAATCTGAGATGGTATTGATGTCTGAGATGGAATCTGAGATGGTATTGATGCCTGAGATGGAATCTGAGATGGTATTGATGCTTGAGATGGAATCAGAGATGGTATTGATGTCTGAGATGGAATCTGAGATGGTATTGATGTCTGAGATGGAATCAGAGATGGTATTGATGTCTGAGATGGAATCTGAGATGGTATTGATGCCTGAGATGGTATCTGAGATGGTATTGATGCCTGAGATGGAATCTGAGATGGTATTGATGCCTGAGATGGAATCTGAGATGGTATTGATGTCTGAGATGGAATCAGAGATGGTATTGATGTCTGAGGTGGAATCTGAGATGGTATTGATGTCTGAGATGGAATCTGAGATGGTATTGATGTCTGAGATGGAATCAGAGATGGTATTGATGTCTGAGATGGAATCAGAGATGGTATTGATGCCTGAGATGGTATCTGAGATGGTATTGATGCCTGAGATGGAATCTGAGATGGTATTGATGTCTGAGATGGAATCTGAGATGGTATTGATGTCTGAGATGGAATCTGAGATGGTATTGATGTCTGAGATGGAATCTGAGATGGTATTGATGTCTGAGATGGAATCAGAGATGGTATTGATGTCTGAGATGGAATCTGAGATGGTATTGATGCCTGAGATGGAATCTGAGATGGTATTGATGCCTGAGATGGAATCAGAGATGGTATTGATGCCTGAGATGGAATCTGAGATGGTATTGATGCCTGAGATGGAATCTGAGATGGTATTGATGCCTGAGATGGAATCAGAGATGGTATTGATGCCTGAGATGGAATCTGAGATGGTATTGATGCCTGAGATGGAATCTGAGATGGTATTGATGCCTGAGATGGAATCAGAGATGGTATTGATGCCTGAGATGGAATCTGAGATGGTATTGATGTCTGAGATGGAATCTGAGATGGTATTGATGCCTGAGATGGAATCAGAGATGGTATTGATGCCTGAGATGGAATCTGAGATGGTATTGATGCCTGAGATGGAATCAGAGATGGTATTGATGCCTGAGATGGAATCAGAGATGGTATTGATGCCTGAGATGGAATCTGAGATGGTATTGATGTCTGAGATGGAATCTGAGATGGTATTGATGCCTGAGATGGAATCTGAGATGGTATTGATGCCTGAGATGGAATCAGAGATGGTATTGATGTCTGAGATGGAATCTGAGATGGTATTGATGTCTGAGATGGAATCAGAGATGGTATTGATGTCTGAGATGGAATCTGAGATGGTATTGATGCCTGAGATGGTATCAGAGATGGTATTGATGCCTGAGATGGAATCTGAGATGGTATTGATGCCTGAGATGGAATCTGAGATGGTATTGATGTCTGAGATGGAATCAGAGATGGTATTGATGTCTGAGATGGAATCTGAGATGGTATTGATGTCTGAGATGGAATCTGAGATGGTATTGATGTCTGAGATGGAATCAGAGATGGTATTGATGTCTGAGATGGAATCAGAGATGGTATTGATGCCTGAGATGGTATCTGAGATGGTATTGATGCCTGAGATGGAATCTGAGATGGTATTGATGTCTGAGATGGAATCTGAGATGGTATTGATGTCTGAGATGGAATCTGAGATGGTATTGATGTCTGAGATGGAATCTGAGATGGTATTGATGTCTGAGATGGAATCAGAGATGGCATTGATGTCTGAGATGGAATCTGAGATGGTATTGATGCCTGAGATGGAATCTGAGATGGTATTGATGCCTGAGATGGAATCAGAGATGGTATTGATGCCTGAGATGGAATCTGAGATGGTATTGATGCCTGAGATGGAATCTGAGATGGTATTGATGCCTGAGATGGAATCAGAGATGGTATTGATGCCTGAGATGGAATCTGAGATGGTATTGATGCCTGAGATGGAATCTGAGATGGTATTGATGCCTGAGATGGAATCAGAGATGGTATTGATGCCTGAGATGGAATCTGAGATGGTATTGATGTCTGAGATGGAATCTGAGATGGTATTGATGCCTGAGATGGAATCAGAGATGGTATTGATGCCTGATATGGAATCTGAGATGGTATTGATGTCTGAGATGGAATCTGAGATGGTATTGATGTCTGAGATGGAATCTGAGATGGTATTGATGCCTGAGATGGAATCTGAGATGGTATTGATGCCTGAGATGGAATCAGAGATGGTATTCATGTCTGAGATGGAATCTGAGATGGTATTGATGCCTGAGATGGAATCAGAGATGGTATTGATGCCTGAGATGGAATCTGAGATGGTATTGATGTCTGAGATGGAATCTGAGATGGTATTGATGCCTGAGATGGAATCAGAGATGGTATTGATGCCTGAGATGGAATCTGAGATGGTATTGATGTCTGAGATGGAATCTGAGATGGTATTGATGCCTGAGATGGAATCAGAGATGGTATTGATGCCTGAGATGGAATCAGAGATGGTATTGATGCCTGAGATGGAATCAGAGATGGTATTGATGCCTGAGATGGAATCTGAGATGGTATTGATGTCTGAGATGGAATCTGAGATGGTATTGATGTCTGAGATGGAATCTGAGATGGTATTGATGCCTGAGATGGAATCAGAGATGGTATTGATGTCTGAGATGGAATCTGAGATGGTATTGATGCCTGAGATGGAATCTGAGATGGTATTGATGCCTGAGATGGAATCAGAGATGGTATTGATGTCTGAGATGGAATCTGAGATGGTATTGATGCCTGAGATGGAATCTGAGATGGAATCTGAGATGGTATTGATGCCTGAGATGGAATCTGAGATGGAATCTGACATGGTATTGATGTCTGAGATGGAATCTGAGATGGTATTGATGTCTGAGATGGAATCTGAGATGGTATTGATGCCTGAGATGGAATCTGAGATGGAATCTGAGATGGTATTGATGCCTGAGATGGAATCTGAGATGATCTTGATGCCTGAGATGGAATCTGAGATGGTATTGATGCCTGAGATGGAATCGAAACTCGGGTGGCCGTGTTCCTCGCGCAGCGGTGTTGCACTACCACCACCACTACCACCACCACTACCACCAAAACTACTACCACCACTACCACCACCACTACTACTACCACCACCACCAAAACTACTACCACCACCACTACTACCACAACTACTACCAACACCACCACTACCACAACTACCACCACCACCAATTCTTCCGGTGGCAGAAGATCTCAGTAGACCCGCAAAGGGGGTGTGGCCTCATCGCTGACGTCACGCCGCTGCCCTTTGACCTCCCGCGGTTTCTTTGGCTTCCGTCCCAGAGCTTCCAGTTCGTGGCGAGGGGAAGTTTAAGAGAATTGTTTTTTTAGTTTATCATCTTTTTTAACCTCCTTCGCTTCCTTACAATCACATCGGCGGCGTCGTCGTCGTCGTGAGTTACCGCAGTCGCCGCTGCTGTTTCGCAATCGCCTGCCACGTAAGACGCGTTCGCGGTGGATGTGCCAAGTTCGACTCGTCTCCACGTCGCCTGCAGTCAGGTGAGCAGTGGATAGAGACTGTACTGCACTGTACTGCACTGTACCGCACTGTACCGGTGCGTTATTACAGCGGTGACGGTGCAAGAGAGTCACTGCACGCGTCATGCTAACACGAGTCTTGAGTTATAACGCGTTATATACTAACACGAGTTCTGAGGCGTTATCAGAATACGAGTGTGAGCTCTGAGGCGTTATAATAATACGAATGTGAGTTATGAGGCGTTATAATTACACTAGTATGAGTTATGACGCGTTATAACAATACAAATGTGAGTTATAACGCGTTATAATTACACTAGTATGAGTTATGACGCGTTATAACAATACAAATGTGAGTTATGAGGCGTTATAATTACACTAGTATGAGTTATAACGCGTTATAACAATGCGAATGTGAGTTCTGAGGCGTTATAACAATACGAATGTGAGTTATAACGCGTTATAACAGTACGAATGTGAGTTCTGAGGCGTTATAATTACAGTAGTGTGAGTTATAACGCGTTATAATTACACTAGTATGAGTTATAACGCGTTATAACAATACGAACGTGAGTTATAACGCGTTACAATTACTAGTATGAGTTATAACGCGTTATAATTACACTAGTATGAGTTATAACGCGTTATAATTACACTAGTATGAGTTATGACGCGTTATAATTACACTAGTATGAGTTATAACGCGTTATAACAATACGAATGTGAGTTCTGAGGCGTTATAATTGCACTAGTATGAGTTATAACGCGTTATAACAATACAAATGTGAGTTATGAGGCGTTATAATTACGCTAGTATGAGTTATAACGCGTTATAATTACACTAGTATGAGTTATAACGCGTTATAACAATACGAATGTGAGTTATAACGCGTTATAATTACACTAGTATGAGTTATAACGCGTTATAATTACACTAGTTTGAGTTATAACGCGTTATAACAATACGAGTGTGAGTTATGAGGCATTTCCTTGCCACACGAGTACCACTGTGTGATGACGTCAGCAGTGGTTGTGCTATGGATAGATGCAGTCAGTTCCCGTCATAGGAACGTGGAAGTTCCACCACGGGCTCTGCAGGGCTGTAAACAGGGTATGAGCACCAATGCCTCGGTGCCCTTGCGAGCAGAAAAATCACTTTGTGACCCGTGGTGATGACACCGGCGCTTGGTGACCTGGTTCGTGGTTGGAACTGCACGGCAGCCCCGTTTAATACTGCCGGGAGCAATGAGTGGGAGATTGAATCGGTGAGCAAATGGGTGAGCCGGTGGGTGGGTGGGTGAGTGAGTGGTGGGTGGGTGGGTGAGTGGATGGGTGGGTGGGTGAGTGAGCCCAATGAGAGAGTGAATGATCGGTTGGGTTTGGTGAGTGGATGAGCTGACCTGTACTCGTCTGTGAAACACAGTAGCGGCACGTTCCTCCGCCCTGTGCTATGATGACGACAGCGCCCTCGCATCAAATGTACGTATGGATGTTGAACTTCTTTCGCACCGTACGTAGCCAACCGCGCTAATTGGAGGTGCGCGGGAATGACAACAAACTAAACACAACAAGCGTTTCTAAAGAAAAGGCATTTCAATCTAGATGTTGATTTAAAAGTGCGTAGCTCCCAGTGGCTTGCTAATATCGGAAGGAAGAACGTTCCAGACGGCCGCAGAAGGGCACCTGAAAGCGCCACGCGATGTCGGTGAGCACCGTCTTTGTTCGATGGCGCTGCTGCGAGGATGACCGGAGTTTGCGTGACAGCTTATGCTCGTGATTTGATTTGATCGCGCGTGTCGGCTTTGCCGGGCCGGTGCTAACTCGGCGCGTGTCGGCGTGATCACGCGTGTCAGGCGTCGCCAGGCCCGAGCTAACTCCACGCGTGTCGGCGTGATCACGCGTGTCAGGCGTCGCCAGGCACGAGCTAACTCCGCGTGTCGGCGTGATCACGCGTGTCAGGCGTCGCCAGGCACGAGCTAACTCCGCGTGTCGGCGTGATCACGCGTGTCAGGCGTCGCCAGGCCCGAGCTAACTCCACGTGTGTTGGCATGATCACGCGTGTCAGGCGTCGCCAGGCCCGAGCTAACGCCGCTTGTCGGCGCCGCGGTCGTCGGGACGCCCGTGGCAGCGCGCGAGGATGCACGATGCCGAGGGCGGCGGCGCTTACGACTTCCTCTTCAAGGTCATCCTCATCGGAGACCCCGACGTGGGCAAGACGTGCATCGTGCAGCGGTTCAAGTCCGGGATCTTCCTGGAGAAGCAGCGGAACACCATCGGCGTCGACTTCGCCATGAAGACCGTCGACATGCAGGGCAAAAGGATCAAGGTGACGATCGCGCCGGAAACAAAACCCGGACCTCCTCAATCGTAGGACCCGCGGAACTAGCGATTGTCCTGAGAATCCCTCAAAATATTCTTGGTTCTTTCGGTAAAGTCACGTAGAAGGGAAATAATAAAATAATACAAATATAAAACAATAAAAATTCTCACGACGTTTCGACTGCAAGACAAGCAATCATCAGGTGTGAAATCCACAGCAAGAAAATGTTCTTGCTGTGGATTTCACACCTGATGATGATTGCTTGTGTTGCAGTCGAAAAGTCGTGAGAACTTTTATTGATTATTATTATTTTATTATTTCCCTTCTACATGACTTTACCGAAAGAACCAAGAATATGAATCCCTGCAGTCACGAAAGCTTTCAATCAAAATCCCTCAAAACTTTTCATTTTACCAGGTAAGGTTCTGCTGAGCTTTCTAGCTCTTTATTTCAGAATAGATGTGGCCCACCAATGATAGCTCAACGAAGTGGCTGATATTATCAGCCAAATACCACAAACGTGTGATGATTTTTAATGGGGAGGGAAAATCCGGAGGACACGGTTAAAAATCGACGGGGAGAGAGAGTGAGACATACAAACTACAAATATACAGGCGTCGGGGTCGGGATCGAACCGGCGACCTCTGGGTTGCCAAGTGTAGCGCGCCGCTGAGCGTGACACCACCACCGTGGCCGCTCTGCTCGCCCGACAGAGGCCGGCGTGCAGGACTGTGCTTGCGCTAACGTAACGCGTCGTTGTCAGCGCCCGATTATCGTAGTAGCAAGAGTAGCTACATATTCTACAGGCCCCGCACTTTCAAGGGCCCCGCGCTAAATGCTTTCAAGATATCAATTCCGGTTCAGTGATTCTGCACTTGCTCTATTACTATAGTACTATACCGCCTTCAACTTTTATGAACGACTGGGTGTTTAAGGTCATCGATTTGTCGTATTAGCTGGCTGTATAGAAAATGAAAAAATCCAATTACTTTACTATGCAAGTTAAACATTTGCGTGTTTTAATATTTTCATTTTTTTTAATTTAAGGCTCCTTTATAACATATGCTACAGGCCCCGCACTACCTTAATCCGGCATTGGCTGCGTTGCACGTAACGCGCCGTTGCACGCAATGCGCCGTTGCACATAACTCGCCGTTGTACGTAACGCGTGCGCGTTGCGTTACCCCCGCGCGCGTTTTGAGCGCAGCGGCGGATTTACTCGGCTTGCTCGTTTAATCCCGGTCCAGCTCGGCGAGGTGTCATTGCCATTGGGACCATCGCGTGGCCGTGCACTTTGCTTTGTTGTGCAACGCGCTGAGAAAGAGAATAAAAAACCCTCACTAGCTGATTCCATTGCTCGATGTAATTTGCTGTACAAACAATCGGGTCACCACCCCCCCTCCACCACCCCTTACCCCGCCCCCATCCACCACCAGCACCACCCCTCCCTCATCCCCCACTCCGCCCTTACCCCCCACCACGCTCTTATCAAAGACCAAGGTCCCCCGTGTAGCCTCAACAGAATTTTGGGGCAAGTGCTGTTAGCGAGCAGCAGCACCTATGAGGGGGTGGGTGGCCAGCATCACGCCCGGCCGCCTTTGTCTCCCCAGTGGGAGACCAGGTACTTATTTGAGGCTGAGTCAACCTAGGGGAGGCCCTGGACCGTTTCAAATAATCGTCACTGGTGTTGGCCGTGAGCGGTATTTGAACTCGGGTAGCAGGGGTTCGTAGCGCAGCGCGCTAACTGCTGCGCCACCGCTCCCCAATAACCCCCATCCACCACCACGAAAATTGTCCAAAGTATATTTATTTCATAGAAATTGTATATTCTATACCTTGCACACAATATCACGTGTTCTAGTGCATTTGTGTTATGCATTATACAATTCCCCTCCAAGTTCTGCGGTCCTCTATAAAAGTGTTATCGGCCAACGCTGGACATCTGTGAAAAAGAGCTTTAGTAGCACATCGGATTCCTCCTGCTGCAGTTTAAATAACGATTCTGAATGGTCATACACGTGGGGAGTCAACCTGCGCGTGCGTAGTGACATCGCGAGATGTCGCTGTGTGTGACGGCCCTCGAGAGGCACGGCGTGCGGTGTCTTGTCATCGCGGACACCACGATGATGTGGGTGCAGTGCCGGCCTCAGAGGGGCTCGGTCAGCGCTGATTGACAGCGCTGATTGACAGCGCTGGATTCCGTCACGCTTGGCGTGCAATGCCAGCCCTAGAGGATCGGCTGTGCGAGTGCGGGCCGTAGGAAAAGGGTCACTGGAGGCCGTGCACTCTGGTTGACCCAAGAGGACACGTGACCAGTTAAGTCTACAGAGGGGCACAAGTGGGGGGCTAGGGGTGGTCACGTGGTCCGGGTCGAGATCCCGCTGGAGGGTTGTGGAAAGTGGTCGTGGCCAGGGGCAGAGCCGGCCATGCCGCAGAGGATATCAGCCGGGTCCCCCAGAGGGAGCGGCTGCTGTTGTTCATCCTGAAGAAACCATCGTCGACGTTCTACGTCCTGCAGAGTCTCCAACACGTGGACCTGGACCCAAGCTGTGGTCCGGTCAATTAGTGTAGTCAGCCTGGTGGTCACCACCATAGGTTGTTATTCTGTTAACCCGAGTGTTGGAGTTAACATATGTGTTGCCTCCAAAGAGTACGTCTGCGACTCGGCTGAATCCACCACACATGCGAGTGGGGAAACACTCTATCGCCTGTACAGATGGAACAGATTGGTGATTAGTCCGCAGTTTGCTGCACTGCCTTCGGGCATGCCGGGGTATACGACTCCTCGACGCCCACCCACAGGGAAGGGAGTTTCACGACAACTTCTGTGCGGTGGTCCAGCAACCCCCTGCTGCCTCCACAGCGCTGGAATACAGGCAGGCACATGCAGCAGCGTAGCCACCACCACTACCCACCGCCCAGTTGTGTTAAGTCTGCGAGAGGCCGTGGTGGTGGTTGTGATGGCGGTGGTGGAGTGGTGGCAGTGGTGGTAGCGGCAGCGGTGTTGGTGGCGGCAGTGGTGGTAGCGGTGGTTGCCTCAAAGTGCACCTGGCCAGGCACCCGTGCCCTGGTGACGTCACCAGTCACTTTGTTTCGAATGGGGGGGGGTATTGGCGGTGGCGGTGGTGGTGGCGGTTGACGTTGCTGCTGTTGCCGGTGCTGTCGTTGAATCCGGACGCAGCTTCAGATCTGGGACACGGCCGGGCAGGAGCGCTTCAAGACGATCACGCAGAGCTACTACCGCAGCGCCAACGGCGCGGTGCTGGCCTACGACATCACCAGCCGGCCCTCCTTCCTCTCCGTGCCGCGATGGATCGACGACATCAACCGCTACGCCGGACACAACCTCGTGCAACTGCTCATCGGTGCGGCGCCGGCAAACCCGCCATCCTCACCGTCATCTTCACCATCGTTAACTCGTCCTCGGCACCGTAACCACCGTCACCACGATCCACACCATCGTCACCTCGTCCTCACATGATCACCGCCATCTCGTCCTCACCATCATAACTACCGTCACCACCATGCTCACTGTCATCTCCTCGTCCTCACCGCCATCTCCTCAGCCTCACCATTGCAATTGATTTTCGAAAAGTTTTTTGGTTTGGCCATGTTTGTTTGTTGTAGTACAGAGTTAGACTGATGGCCTTAATCTAAGTTGTCTTGTGGTTGTTGTTGTTGTTTGACTTGCATCCCACTGGGATATTTGCACAGGGTTGGTGTACGGTGATTTTTCTGCAATATTTTGCTGTCTTTTCTTGGATTTTCTGTTTGCACATAGTCACTTTAAGATGTTTTCTTGTTCATGTTTTTGCTTTTTGTTTGTTGCGGTTGCACCCGATTCAAGAGCCGAATGGCGCACAGGGCTATACCTAATAAATTAACTTTGAACCGCCACCGGCACCACCACCACCGGCACCACCACCCTCACCATCACAACTGCTACCGCCGCCGTCGCCTTGATCTCACCGCTCCTCGCGTCCGCCGGTCCCCCGCAGGCAACAAGCTGGACATGGCCGAGGGGCGCCAGGTGTCGTGGGAGGAGGGTCAGGAGCTGGCGCGGCGGCACGGCATGCTGGCCGCGCTCGAGACCTCCGCCAAGGAGGCGGACAACGTGGACGAGGTGTTCCTGCGCCTGGCCGCCGAGCTGCTGGCTCGCAACGGCGGCCCCTCCGTGTCGGACTCGCGGCACGGCTCCATCAAGCTGGACTCGCGCGCCGTCGGCGCCGGCTGGGGCTGCGGATGCTGAGGAGCGTGCGTGCGCTAGTGGGTGTGGGTGCGCGCGTGAGTGGGTGCGGGTGCGTGTGCGTGTGTGCACGCGTTCTTGCGTGTCTACATGCGTGTGGGGAGCGGTAGCGTAGCAGCGGTTAGAGCGCTGCGCTCCCAACTCGCCGATTCTCGCTCACGGCCGACACCGGAGACGATTATCTGAACTGGTCCTGGGCCTCCCCTGGGTCAACTCAGCCCTAAAATTTGTACCTGGTGCGAGGTGTAAACATCGCCACTCGGGAGACAAAGGCGGTGAGTCGTGGTGCTGGCCACCCACACCCTCGTGTGCTGTGCCACTAGCAGCACTTTCCGCAACAGTCTGTTCACGGCTATCTGGGGGATCGCTGTCTTTTGTGCCTGCGTTACTTTTTGTAAGTGGAGGAGTTCCCGTACGTGGGCTGAGTGTCGATGGCCAGTTCCCGTTTTGCAGCAGAGGCCTTGCACCGAATCAGCCAAGCGGCATTATCTTTTCATCAGCTGCGTAACACTGCGGTGTGGTAGCTTCCTGGCTTGTCGCTCCATACGAAACTCCGGGCCTCATCAGCCACCGTCATGCCCTCCATTCTCTTTGCTTGCGAGGCGTGAACCCCTTCTAAAGGAACATCTGCACCGGTTAGAAACATTCAGGCTGGCCTGTCTACAATCCATCCTGGGTGTAACCAGACTGGATTGTGTGAGGAGCTCACAGAACCTTGAAAGATCTGGACACAGTCCCCATCACCGGTGAGCTCTTCCAGCAGGCGAGGCTGTCTTGGCTGTCTTGGCTGGGTCATGTAGCCAGCATGCCCAGCCACAGCATGCCCAAGCAGCTTCTGTTAGGTCGGATAGAGGGGGGCTAAACCGGTACGGCATGGGCTGGAGAAGAGGTGGACTGATGTGTGAGTGAGTGAGTGGAGTGGCTGAGAGAAGAGGTGGGCTGGTGTGGTACAGCAAGACACGGGACCGGGATTTAAACTCAGGATATGGGCAGCGCTGGCGTGGCGTCCCCCGACGCGGCGTTGCCAATCCCCCGCGTTAACCAGCAGCCGCCTCTTGTCTGCGGCGGAGTTTTTTGTCGTGGGTCTGAGCCACTTTCTTGCAAGCTTGATCTTGGGATCAATCCTGGACCATGACATGGCAGGGTATATTTGTTAATTGTTCATTTGAGGGACCTTATTTTATAGTGGGTGCGTGATAAGGGGTGCGTGCGGTTTGTCGATTTTGTTTATTTTATGGACGTTAATCACTTTATATATGTACACGTTCCAGTTTCACTGTGGGAGTCAGCGGCATGTCCTGGAAACTCCCGAGCAGTGCGTGGAGTCGCCAGATCTCCCCGAAGCACGGCTGCCTCGCTTGGAGCCACTGTGATGCACGTACGAGAGTACGGGCCCCCTACGTTTGTCCACTGCTGGATGAGGTTCCTGCCTACACCGTGCGGTCCGCGGCTGATGTTTGACCATTCTGCGCCACTCTGGTCTGTGCGGGCTGGTACGGGAGAGCAGTGAAGACAACGGCGTCCGCTCCGTAGCGCAATGGCGGCCGTGTCGGCACGCGGGTCGCCCATCCGGGCCGCTGTTCAGGCTAACACCTGCTTAGCTTCTGAGTTCTGGCTGGGTCAGGGTTCACTGCGGTTGATCTTATCGGAGGCGAAGGTCCCGTGGCCGACGTTCCCGTGAACTTCACACATTGGTTCCGCCACCCGTGTTGAGGACTCGGTCCCTGTCAGACTCTGACCGATTCATCTCATCCCACGCTGGCATCAACCACGATACCGCTGGCTTCAGCAACACACTCTCGGTCACTCACCCACTCACTCGCCCAATCACCCACTCACCCAATCACTCTCTTACCCACTCGCCTATTGACTAATTCGCCCACTTTCTAACCCACTTACTCACACACTCAGTCACTCGCCCAATTTTTCATTCGCCCACTCACTCGCCCAGTCACCGATTCATGCACTCTCACCCACCCACTCACCCGATGACTAAATCCCCCCATTTACCCACTCGCTCACTCAATCAATAACGTATTCACCCGTGTATTGTGCTGGTTATTTGACTAAATGCGGGTTGGTAAAGGCGGATAGCGGGAGCATAGAAGTAGAGTACAGCAGTGTAATTTGATACAACTGCCCTCTGCTACCCAACACGTAGCTCGGTGGGCAGCTGAGGGGTCTCGGTCACATGTCCATCGACGCGAGGCCACCGCCCTCGTCTGTCATCCAACATTTCCGTAGACTAACGCGTCATCCTAATTGATGACAAACTCAACACGTGCATCGATGGCACTGCGTGTGGCCTTTAAACTAAATAATAATATATAGGAGGCGACGTTTAGGCCAACGGTCCTTCTGCATTGCACTAACACGTTTCGTCTGTTACGAAACATTCATCGTCACTTTAACCGACTACCGTTCATCCCTTACAACAACCCCCATATCTTCTCCCCCAGCCCATCATCGTCCTGATACTACTACACCCTGCCTCACCTCCCAGCTGGGATCAAGCCTACCCCAACCCCAATCACTACCTCCATCACTACTCCAACCCCCATCACTATCCCCATCAATACCCCTATCACTACCCCAACCCCCATCGCTACCTCAACCCCCATCACTTCCCCCATCACTACCCCAACCCCAATCACTACCCCAACCCCAATCACTACCCCTATCACTACCCCAACCCCCATCACTACCCCAACCCCAATCACTACCCCAACCCCAAACACTACCCCTATCACTACCCCAACCCCCATCACTACCCCAACCCCCATCACTACCCCAACCCCAATCACTACCCCTATCACTACCCCAACCCCCATCACTACCCCAACCCCAATCACTACCCCTATCACTACCCCAACCCCTATCACTACCCCAACCCCCATCACTACCCCAACCCCCATCACTACCCCAACCCCAATCACTACCCCTATCACTACCCCAACCCCCATCACTACCCCAATCACTACCCCAACCCCTATCACTACCCCAACCCCCATCACTACCCCAACCCCTATCACTACCCCAACCCCTATCACTACCCCAACCCCCATCACTACCCCAACCCCAATCACTACCCCAACCCCTATCACTACCCCAACCCCCATCACTACTCCAACCCCAATCACTACCTCCATCACTACTCCAATCACTACCCCTATCACTACCCCAACCCCAATCACTACACCTATCACTACCCCTATCACTACCCCAACCCCCATCACTACCCCAACCCCCATCACTATCCCCATCACTACCCTATCACTATCCCCATCACTACCCCTAATCACTACCCCAACCCCCATCACTACCCCTATCACGACCCCGACCCCAACCCCGATCCCAACCCCTATCACTACCCCAGGACCACGGCGAGAAAGACACCACAAACTCCAAATATACAACAACAGGCGTCGGGGTCGGGTTCGAATCCACGACCTCCTGCACACCAGGACGAGGCAGTTAATAACCATCGGGTGTCGGTACATGTCGGGGAAAATCGGAGTGCCGAGGGAAATCCCCACGGGTGCGAGCAGTGGGGGCAGCTGGCAACACTAAATTCCCGTGTGGGTGGAAAACGCGTCCACTTGCAGTGCTACTGGAATAAGCCCCGGCGGGCCACGAGAGGGCGACTGCTACGGGTTCCGTGTGATCACATTTCTTGTACTCGGGGAGACGCGTCGATGCACGCGAAGTTTTGGGGGGGGGGAGAGCTGGCATTCCAGCTGTTGTGTCCGTATGCTTTTTGAACCCGAGCCGTGTAGCACACTTTATTGTTGTGTCCGTGTTTTTGGTAACGCATTTGCTGGGAGAGAAAAAGGCCCAAAATCTCAAGTGGCCAGTAACAAACGTCACTTTTGAGGCTGTGAAAGACGAAGAGTGTCACGTGTTTGTGGAATCCAGTGAGGTGATTGTTCCCATAGCTTTAGGGGAAGGAAATAGACGGTGATGGGAGGAGGGAATGCCAGTGTCGGGCAATGCACAGCCGAGTGAGGGGGTGGTTGAGTTCGTGGGTGTGTGTGTGGTTGAGTTCGTGGGTGTGGTTGAGTGAGTGGGTGTGTGGTTGAGTGAGTGTGGTTGAGTGAGTGTGTGTGTGGTTGAGTGAGTGGGTGGGTGGTTGAGTTCGTGGGTGTGGTTGAGTGAGTGGGTGTGTGGTTGAGTGAGTGGGTGGGTGGTTGAGTGGGTGTGTGGTTGAGTGGGTGTGTGGTTGAGTGAGTGGGTGGGTGGTTGAGTGGGTGTGTGGTTGAGTGAGTGGGTGGGTGGTTGAGTGAGTGTGGTTGAGTGAATGGGTTTGTGGTTGAGTTCGTGGGTGTGGTTGAGTGAGTGGGTGTGTGGTTGAGTGAGTGGGTGGGTGGTTGAGTGGGTGTGTGGTTGAGTGAGTGGGTGGGTGGTTGAGTGAGTGGGTGGGTGGTTGAGTGAGTGGGTGTGTGGTTGAGTGAGTGGGTTTGTGGTTGAGTGAGTGGGTGTGTGGTTGAGTGAGTGGGTGGGTGGTTGAGTTCGTGGGTGGGTGGTTGAGTTCGTGGGTGTGGTTCAGTGAGTGTGTGTGTGGTTGAGTGAGTGGGTGGGTGGTTGAGTGGGTGTGTGGTTGAGTGAGTGGGTGGGTGGTTGAGTGAGTGGGTGGGTGGTTGAGTGAGTGTGGTTGAGTGAATGGGTGTGTGGTTGAGTGAGTGGGTTTGTGGTTGAGTGAGTGGGTGGTTGAGTGAGTGGGTGTGTGGTTGAGTGAGTGGGTGGGTGGTTGAGTTCGTGGGTGGGTGGTTGAGTTCGTGGGTGTGGTTCAGTGAGTGTGTGTGTGGTTGAGTGAGTGGGTGGGTGGTTGAGTGGGTGTGTGGTTGAGTGAGTGGGTGGGTGGTTGAGTGAGTGGGTGGGTGGTTGAGTGAGTGTGGTTGAGTGAATGGGTGTGTGGTTGAGTGAGTGGGTTTGTGGTTGAGTGAGTGGGTGGTTGAGTGAGTGGGTGTGTGGTTGAGTGAGTGTGGTTGAGTGAGTGTGTGTGTGGTTGAGTGAGTGGGTGGGTGGTTGAGTTCGTGGGTGTGGTTGAGTGAGTGGGTGTGTGGTTGAGTGAGTGGGTGGGTGGTTGAGTGGGTGTGTGGTTGAGTGGGTGTGTGGTTGAGTGAGTGGGTGGGTGGTTGAGTGGGTGTGTGGTTGAGTGAGTGGGTGGGTGGTTGAGTGAGTGTGGTTGAGTGAATGGGTTTGTGGTTGAGTTCGTGGGTGTGGTTGAGTGAGTGGGTGTGTGGTTGAGTGAGTGGGTGGGTGGTTGAGTGGGTGTGTGGTTGAGTGAGTGGGTGGGTGGTTGAGTGAGTGGGTGGGTGGTTGAGTGAGTGGGTGTGTGGTTGAGTGAGTGGGTTTGTGGTTGAGTGAGTGGGTGTGTGGTTGAGTGAGTGGGTGGGTGGTTGAGTTCGTGGGTGGGTGGTTGAGTTCGTGGGTGTGGTTCAGTGAGTGTGTGTGTGGTTGAGTGAGTGGGTGGGTGGTTGAGTGGGTGTGTGGTTGAGTGAGTGGGTGGGTGGTTGAGTGAGTGGGTGGGTGGTTGAGTGAGTGTGGTTGAGTGAATGGGTGTGTGGTTGAGTGAGTGGGTTTGTGGTTGAGTGAGTGGGTGGTTGAGTGAGTGGGTGTGTGGTTGAGTGAGTGGGTGGGTGGTTGAGTGGGTGTGTGGTTGAGTGAGTGGGTGTGTGGTTGAGTGAGTGGGTGGGTGGTTGAGTGAGTGGGTGTGTGGTTGAGTGAGTGGGTGTGTGGTTGAGTGAGTGGGTTTGTGGTTGAGTGAGTGGGTGGTTGAGTGAGTGGGTGTGTGGTTGAGTGAGTGGGTGGGTGGTTGAGTGGGTGTGTGGTTGAGTGAGTGGGTGGGTGGTTGAGTGAGTGGGTGTGTGGTTGAGTGAGTGGGTGTGTGGTTGAGTGAGTGGGTGTGTGGTTGAGTGATCGGGTGTGTGGTTGAGTGAGTGGGTTTGTGGTTGAGTGAGTGGGTTTGTGGTTGAGTGAGTGGGTGGGTGGTTGATTGGGTGTGTGGTTGAGTGAGTGGGTGGGTGGTTGAGTGAGTGTGTGTGTGGTTGGGTGATTGGGTTTGTGGTTGAGTGATTGGGTGTGTGGTTGAGTGAGTGGGTGTGTGGTTGATTGATTGAGTGTGAGAGTGAGTGGTGCAGCGTTTTGTTTTGACCTACACTGCGGGTGGTTGTGAACGCGAGACGATCTGACGGGACACGTGCCAAGTTGACGTGAGGAATTATTTCACACCACCGTGTTCGGGCTCGACCGGGGGTCGTCAACCTAAATCATTTGTGATGGGTCGCTTCTGAAAGTAGAGCTATATAGCGGAGCGGGCCTTTGCCTGGTAACATAAAATAAAAGTTGTCGTTTAAATTAACAAGAGGAGCCATTTTTCCCCCCAATTAGGTAATAAAAAAAAAGCCCCCACAATATTTAAATAGCCGCAATGCACTGTGGGGCGAATAGGAGAGACTGCGATTTCCTTGATAAATAATAAATTACGGAGCGGCTCCTCAAAGAGCCCTTGGACCAACTCTCTCAATATCCACTGCTTGCTTTGCCCCCCCCCCGCCCCCCAGTCTCTAGGGCAGTGATTCTTCTTAACCTGGGGTGCGCGCATTTCCTTTTTGAATTCGGCAAAAACAAATATGTCTCGTTGTTTCAAGAGCCGCAATGCAACGTGAATAACGTCACGAGAAGCGGTCTTTTGAAGAGGTTGCCGACCCCTGGCCTATCGACCGCTGCCGCACCATCACGCTCCCATCTGGAGCGGTGGCTCTTCACCTGGGGGGGGGGGGGGGGGCTGCACGCTGCACCCCCTGGGGGGTGCGAGATGCCCTTTCTGGGGGTGCGAGGCACGGCCACAATTTTTTTTTAGAAGCGAAATCATCACAAACACAACTCGAACACGGGCACGTCAGTACAACTACTTTGGTTCATCACACCCTGTGTTCATGGACATTGTACAGTTGTTAACGATTGAGAATCAAGGGGGGGTGGGGGGGTGTGCAAGCCTGCAGCAAAGGTTAAGAGCCACTGCCCTCTAAAGGCGTTGTGCTGCGTGTGCCATCGCGGTTGTGTTACACAAAGCAGCTGGATTCCTGGACGGTGTGTCGGGGTCGCGGATGTAACTGCGATTTATTGTTATCACGAGAGTTTCGATTTAAAGCTTCTTTCGTGACTGCAGGGATTCATCTTCTTGGTGCTTTCGGTAAAGTCACGTAGAATGGAATTAATAAAATAATAAAAATAAAACATAATAAAATACAATTCTCACGACGTTTCGGCCACAACGCAAGCAGCCGTCCTCAGGTGAAGAACAGGTCTGTCGGAAAGACATTCAGACACATTCAGACGCTGTCTTTTCAGACAGCGTCCGACAGACCTGTTCTTCACCTGAGGACGGCTGCTTGCGTTGTGGCCGAAACGTCGTGATAATTATTTTATGATGTTTTATTTTTATTATTTTATTATTTCCATTCTACGTGACTTTACCGAAAGAACCAAGAAGATTACGATAGTTGTTTATTTGCGGGGGTGGCACATGATTTTACACGGTGTGACGCTTTGACCTGTGCAATCGTCGCGTGGTTTGTATCGGCGTGGACGCTGGCGACGCGCCGAACGTGACGCGCGCGCTCTACGCCAGCGGTCGTTTCGCTCCCACCGCTGACACCGCCGCTCACCGCCTGTGTTTTTTGCCGGCGACGACGTGCTTTCGCGACGGTTAAACGACGAGTCGAGGTCGATCGCGCCAACGCGTTAGCGTGGCGGAGTTG